CACACACACACACACATCCCTCCACACACACACACACATCCCTCCACACACACACACACATCCCTCCACACACACACACACATCCCTCCACACACACACTCCCGAGACACTACACCACGAACCCAGCCCAGAAAGGTGCGAACCGGCGCTGCCGCCTTATCCGCACCTCACGACCCTGAGGGGGGCGCTCACCCGGCGGCCCTCAACCCTCTTCGCCTCGCTCCCGCCACACCCGCCGTGCCGGCCCGCTCCCTCAGCCCCTCTGTCCTCCACCAGCCACCGGCGGGGGGATTCCTCGGCGGGAGCTGCCGACCGGCGCCTGAGCACGGCCTGGCGGAGCAAGGGCCGGGAATCCCTGAGGGAGCGCCGCCGCCCCGCCAGGCGCCGTGACGTCACTGCGCCCCGCCGGCCGCCCGAAGGACCCTAGCGCAGGGGCGTCCTAGCGTGATGCCTGAACTGTCGTGTTGTTGGGGCATTTCAAAAACCAGGCACACACACACCGACCACGTCCCCCGCCTGTGTGTGCTTTGTCAGGAATCTGAGAACGATGTGATGAGCGCGTTGGCAGTGAAAATAATCAATAAAAAATGCTCGCTGCGGGTAGCGACTTCTTATCAACCTTAGGCACTCGCTCGGGCAGCCCGGGGGCGAGGGTCCTTTTTCCCTCAGCGGGTGGAGGAGTGTGGCGGCGGTTCGGTTCATGTGAGTGTCTCCCGGTGGGGCCTACGGGCGCCCAGCCAGAGCTCCGACACCGGGGGTGGCTTCCTTCTTTTCAGTGCGCCCGTGGGTGCCGTAGTTCGGTCCTCCCTCGCCGTTGGGGGAGCTGCGTCGCGGCGGTTTGGTGCCTCAGGGCCAGGCCGAGCTCTCTTGGAGGGGTGGGGGGGGCAGGTGGGAGCCCGGCGGGGCCCTGTTTGCTTGGGGGCGGCTGGAGCAGGGGTTCCCCGCGGGCCCTGTCGCAGGGAGGGGGCTGCTGTCCCTCTGAAGGGATTTTTCCCTGTAGCGGAGGGGCAGGATGAGTGTCTCGAGTTAGAGGAAACGGCGCTACGTTCGGTGTTGTTTAATTTATATAAGGAATTGAATGCTTAGGATTAAATGGATGCTGTAGCTGCAGGGTGGCGTTGTAAGCGCGGTTTGCAGGTAGGGAATATGCACGTGAAGTGGTTTTTCTGAAATTGGTTGTCTTCCTTTGCTCAGCCCGTCGACTGACGTGACAATTTGGGAGTGTTGTAGTGGTCTGCTGTTGAAGAAAATGCTGCAGTAGCCTAGAAAGCACAGGCACGGAGTATCCACTGAGCTTTGTTACTAATTGAAAAGTAGATGCTCTTTGTATATGTCTGTGTTCACTTTGCATTTGCTTAGCTATTAGTGAGTGAAAACCAATGTGTAACTAAGTATTAGGTCCATTCTCAGTGGAGGCACCTGCAAGATTTAACCCATGTTCTGTACATGGTTGTATGGATTTCTCCATGACTAGAAAACACAGGCACGGAGTATCCACTGAGATTTGCATAGGAACGGCTGTTACTAATTGAAAAGTAGGTGCTCTTTGTATGTGTCTATGTTCACTATGCTTTTGCATAGCCATTAGTGAGTGAAAAACGATGTATAACTAAGTATTAGGTCCATCCTCAGTAGGGGCACATGCAAGATTTAACCCATGTTCTGTACAGGGTTGTATGGATTGGATAACAGGGATGAACTTAATGATTTGTTGCTTGTTAGATCGCATTACAAGTCCACAGCTGACCACCATACGGCAGTGTTACTGAAGTACTGTGTATCTTGAGCTAGTCAGTAAGAGCTCTTGCACTGGGTTTAGCAGCTGGCAAAATGAAGAAAATACTAATGCAAAATAAGTTGTCCTTTCATTTCCTGCTCTTTCTGTTTCTTTAATTCAGATACCTATTATTTTTAATGCAGTCATTGGTTTTAAGAAATAGTTTTGTGATTCAGGATACTTACATGAAATCTGTAGTAAGGTGAGACAGTAGTGATTAAATATAGCATCCCATTTTTGTATGCCCTATATTATTTTTTCAGCTATGTTTAAATAATAATACATTATTTGGCAGCCTGTTGGAAAGTGAACCCCAAGTCTGTAAAATAAAACCAAAGTCCCTAAAAGTTATCTTCTAATACTGGATATTATTAAAAGGGATAAGGCCTTAGAAATGAGTAAGTAATAAAGCTTTGGCAAGTCTTATTCAAAGATCTTTGTCAGCATGGTTTCATCGTAATTTAGATTATCATAATATAGTTAGATTATCATGATATATAACTGTTGCATGTTAACAATATATTCTTGCTATGGTAATTTTGACTTTGAAGAATTTTAAGAAATATGTTGATTTAGCAGCACTGAATCCTGGAGGTGCAAGATGTTGAAGGCAGAGTGATTTAAGTCAAAATGATTCTTAAAGCTGTCTTAAGCAAACTTAGGCTCAGAATGTCTTTTTCTAGTTTTAAATATGAAGCTTGTGAATATTTTTTGTATATTGCTATAGGTGTGTTTGTTTCTTTTACAGCTTTAAATGTAAATAGAGAAGGAAACAAGTTCTCATTCCCCAGAGTGAAGAAGGCCTTTATTGAAGGGTGGCCAAGCAGCCCATGGATATTGTTTAATCCTTTCTATTTAGGAGATATTCTCTGTAATAGCTTTTCTCCTATATGTATGTCACTGAAGTCTGTTTAATGCATTATTGCTATTTCAATTATGTATGTTATCCAAGAAAAGACTAGCAATGGAGTTAATTGTATGCCATGATGGGGGGCAGCAAGCAACCCCCTAGTAATTCTTATGCTTTTGCAAAATCCTTTAAATCAATTCATGGCATTTTTTTAAAGTTCTTTCTGAAAATCAGTCCGGGCTAGAGTCTTTGACTTCCTACTGACCTGGAAGTTTCACAATATTATGTTTTTCTGAAAAAACGACTGTAAAATATCATGTGAGTAAAGCTCCATTATGCAAGGCGTATTGGTTGTAGACTTCTCTTTTCCTGCTCTTGTTTTTTCTGAAGTTGCCTGCTTAATATCCATGATAGAAGCACATTTTTGAATAACAGAGTCCTAATTTAGAGAATGCTGAAATATATATATTTAACTGTAATGTTTATCACTGAAATTTCATGCTATATGCTTGACACACTGAATTCCTAAATAAATTGACACACCATCAGAAAAATTTGATCAGTATTTCCAAATTATCTAGTAATCTTTTGTTTGCCTTTCTTCCATAAACTCCATGAGAGGGTTGGGGGGTGTAGTGAGGATTGTTGTTTCTTTCATTAGGACTAAAGTAGAAAGTAAAAAACTTTGGATTTATGTTAGTCTGTAATATATTGAGATACAGTGCAATCATTTCAGTTGGTGTGAAACTTCAAAACAGCTTCTGGAAATACTGTAAAAATGCCTCAAAATATTTCTATACTTTTATTATACAGCACATTTTGTACTCTAGATCTGTGCTAGGTAGTAAGAAGTAACATAAGGTAATAATCAGCTGTAGTGAATTGTGTGTTTTCTTTCTGAATCAACAGACCACTTCTAAAATTGCCACTCTATGTAAATTTACTAACTATCTGTAGAAACAAATTAGAAAATTAACAGTTTCTCAGGTGTTTGCTTTGGTTTCCCCCCTGCCCCTTGCCTCCTCCAAGGGTGCCTCCTCCACCCCACCTCAACGTAAATAATTCTATGGATGCAGTGTTACTCTGTTCATTTCTGAAAAAGCCCCAAGAAGTACATACTGGAGGATAAGAACTCAAATAATGCATCAGAATGAAGAGTGGATCTTGAATTGGCAAGAAAAAAAATGTATTGAAATGCAAAATAGGAGATAAGTTCTATCCAAGGCCTGTCTAGACAAAGGGTGAAAAGAAGAATTGAGCTCTTGGATGCCTCTACGAATCCCACCTACTTTACAACACCCCAGAAGCATACTGGGGAAATATCTATATAATAAAATTAAGGTAAAGCAGTTATCATAAGAAGCATTGATCAAGTATGCAGGAAGACAAAACTGATAGCTACCATAATATTTTTGAACTTTTCTGATTAATGTCTTGATCGCTGTATGTCACAGCTGCCGTATGAATGAATTAATTCGCATTTGTCTTTTCTAAGGAAGTGTTTTCTAGAACCTAAAGAATGTCAAATACTAGACAATACAGATAAAGCTGAGGGGACAGCCTAGAGGGCAGCTGCTAGGAACATCAGATGTGAAGAAAGTAAATAGCATCTCTTGTTTCTTGTAGTGATGTGAATTATATGATGTCAGTCCAGCAGGGACCCCCAGAAACCACTGTTTATTCTCCTTCTAAACAGTTACCTGTATGTTTCTTATTACCATCACCAAGAAACATTTCCCGTGTTAGTTTCCCTGTCATACTGGGGGTTAGGGGAAAATCAGTGTTTAGTTTTCATTTCCATGGTTACATTAGTGTTAAACAGTAGGGGAAAAAAAAAAAAAAAAGAGTAAAAGAATATCTGTCTTTTTTCCCCTGCTCCTGGCGTGGTGGAAGCCATCCTTACTTATAGTTTAATATGGTTTCAAAAAGATTTGGATAATTCTCAAAGCAGCCTTCTGAACAAAACTGCTTTCATTGCTTTGTTTTAGGTGGGCTTTTTTTAATGTTTATATAAATAATATTTTTTTTTTGTGCTTGGGAAGATGTGCTTTCCTTTAAAAAAAATTCCTATATGCAAAAGCTGAAGTATGGTTTACTGAGAGCTTGGTGACCTCAAAACAGTCAGGCATCAGTTAAAGTTTTCCCAATTTTCTCTTGGAGAAAAAGAAAATATAGTGCTGTTTGTGTTATGACATCAGAGGTCAATTTCTTCAGAGTGAGGGTAAAACTAATATATTGGTGTTTTACTCCACAGGGGGTTTATTTGTCCTGCCTTCATGGTTATCAAATCTTTGATGTGTTTTGTTCTCCCAAATAATCACACTTGAATACGTGGCAATATCACAATTAGAAGGGTAGGTTTTACTCTGTGTTTTTTAAAGCTAAGTGCAGGGATATAAAAGAGGGACATATTGGTTTAGTAATGCTGGGTGTAATGGAAAGACCTTAGCACAAGAGGAGCCAAAGATCTCAAGTTCAGTCTCATCTATTATACCTTAATCACGTCTGACAGATGTTTGCCTATCCTGTTTTTAGCGATATTCCACGGCCTCCATAGGCAGCCTGTTCAGTCCTTTACTCTTACTTGAAAGTTTTCCAAATGTCTAACTTAAATCTTCCTTGCTTTTTCCTGTCTGCAGCAGACGGGTGAACAGTTTACTTCCACTCTCATACCAACTTCCTTTGTGTTTGAAGAAAGAGACCAAGTCTCACATCTATCTTCTGTTCTATAGACTAAACAACTACAGGTCTTTCAA